TTTTCTATGTTTGTTTCATTCCCAATTTAACCATACTATAATGGTAGTTATGCTGCAAATTTGAGTAAGGAATGCCACATAATAACTGTTTTGACCTATACTGCTGTTACATTAGATTTGACCTCATGCATCCTCCAATAAGTGATCCCTTATGGCTTGAATTTTCGCCTGCCCCATTCAAAGATTGTGGAAATGGCATTGTCATAGGCTCATAACATTTGGTTACTCTTATTCCCTGGTATAACTTTCCTGGTTCTTACTTGCTCAATTTACATTCATTGGTTTGAAGCATATTCTCTGGTAGATTATTTTTTGTCTAGTATTGGTGTTCCGCTTATGATATTTGTTGCTTAATTAAATCCTGAACTATGTGAACTATGGTTGCACAGTTTAGCCTAAGGCCCACAAGGTGCTATGCTTTGTTCTTAGAAATAAGTATTCCTCCCCTTCCTAGTTTCTGTCTGTCTGCTGCTGTGCTGCATGCCACCATATCAATGTTGGTTGTTTTTGAGGCTTATGTACTTGTTTGATTTGATGTAGGATCCTGAGTTCTATAAATATTTAGAACAGTTTGATAAAGATTTGTTGGGCTTTGATGATGACGATGAAATCGAGGTAAGCTGGTCCCTTTTTGTGAGTTTTCTATACTAGAATGATGAGAGTGGAGTCATTGCTCAATATTACATTTAGGATGACCAGGAAACTGGGGTTGATGGTGAGGAGGAATCTGTATCTAAAGAGGAACTGAAGCATGTGAAACCTATTACAATGGAAATGGTTGATTCCTGGTGCGATGGAGTAGAGAATGAGAAGATAGGTTCTATCCGTTCTATTCTTCAAGCTTTTCGCAGAGCCTGCCGTTATGGTGAAGATCATGGGGACAATTCAACTCCAAAGTTTAGTGTCATGTCTGGTAGCGTACTTGATAAAGTTATGCACTTTGTTTTGAAACACATGGATAGAGTCCTCCGTCAATTACTTGGTGCCCCAAGCTTTGGAGGGAAGAAAGAGGCAGTTAGTGAGCTGATGCTGAGTAAGCCATGGAAGAGGCATGGTAATCTTATGAGGATATATCTTGCCAATGCGCTTCATATGATAACAGAGATGACCGATGAGCAAATGATAGCATTTACTATACACCGTATCAGAGCATCAGCTGTTTTTCTGGCAGCTTTCCCATCGCTCCTGAGGAAGTATGTTAAGGTGCGTAGGTTACAATTTCTGCTCTACCTTTGAGTTAATTTCGGCATTGCTCTGCTGTTCATCTACCAAGTTTGTTATTTACTTCTGTTTGCATGCTTCAATTGTAGGCTCTGCTCCATACCTGGGCTAGAGGACGAGGTGCAATGCCTCTTGTTTCTTTTATGTTCCTTCGAGACTTGTGCATTCAAGTAGGTTCAGATTGCCTTGATACATGCCTCAAGGGTATCTATAAGGCTTATTTGGTGAACTGCAAACTGTCCAAATCTATCAGTGGATCAAAACTGCAACACATTCAATTCCTTGGAAATTGTGTCAGAGAATTGTATAGTCTGGATCCACAAAGTGCGTATCAGCATGCTTTTGTTTTCATCCGTCAACTGGGGGTTATCCTAAGAGGAGCTCTTACTGAAAGGGGGCCAAAGGTATCCATTGAACTCATTGCCATGTACTGGAGCTTTGTTGTCTACCTATGACCTGACAGAGAGATATTTGCCTCTTGGTTTATTTTGAAAGTCAGCGAAGGACAAAAGGCAGAAAGAAAGTAGCAAATCATCGAAAAAACAAGTGGAGGTATTATTCATACTGCCACTCAAATACCTACGCTGGTACTGTATAACTATAAGCTTTGAAATACATTCATACCTTAAGTAACTCCCTTATTCTTCTCCAATACAGTAAATCTCCTTATCCTTGCACCTCTTTTATTGAGAAAATCTCACCTTTACAACATGCTATTTTTTCCCCTCAGTGTTAATAGTATACCTTTTGCTGTCCAACACTTTAGCAGTTTTCTGTTGCTGGCTGCTAAAGAGTTGGCATTTTTATTTTGCAGAAATCTTACCAAAAAATTTATGATTGGCAATACATATTCTGCCTTGAGCTTTGGATCAGTGTTGTGTGCGGATGTAGTTCTGAGGAAGAATTCCGACCTCTAGCTTATCCGTTGACCCAAATAATACATGGTGTGGCATGCCTTGTACCTAGCGCACGTTACTTCCCTGTGCGCCTTAGGTGTGTCAGAATGCTTAATCGTATTGCTGAAGCCACTGGTACCTTCATTCCTGTGTCCTCCCTGCTGCTTAATATGCTTGAAATGAAAGAACTTAGAGGACGTCCAGATGGAGGTGTAGGCAAAGCCGTGAATTTGTTCAGTGTTAAACAGGTTTGTTTTCTTGCAACTTGCAATAGAACGTTCCGGCTATGGAACACACCTTTTGAAGGAGCTTGTAACAGTTCTCTTTCTTGGCAGGTGGACAAGAAAACAGTAAAGACACGTGCCTTTCAGGAAGCTTGCATTTATTCTGTGGTCGATGAGCTGGCTAAACATTTGGCCCAATGGAGCTACTCCATTGCCTTCGTTGAGATGTCCTTTATTCCACTTGTTCGGCTCCGAAGCTTTTGCAAAACCATTAAAGCTGACAGATTTAGGAAAGAGATGAAGGATCTTATCAATCAGGTTTGCCTATAGTTTGAATTACAGTATTTGATCCATTGCACATATGCTAATTTCTATCATCATGTCTGATTTCAGATAGAGGCCAATGTCGAGTTCATTAAGTCAAAACGTGTGGGGATTGCTTTTTCACCCAATGACCCAGCTGTAGAGTCATTTCTGCAGGCATGAATCCTGACCTTGTGGCTTTGCTTTTTGCATATTATTTATTTCTATACTATCATTCCTGTCATTTTGTGAACTTTAGCAATCATTCCCGCTTTTTGCACATTATTTATTTCTATACTATCATTCCTGTATCATTTTGTGAACTTTAGCAATCATTCCCCAACAGACCGAAAAGGAAGAACGTTGCAGCCCTCTCTCAAAATATGTTGCTACTCTACACCAGAGAGCGCAGGATAGGATGGACGCTCTGGACGAGACCAGGTTAGTTCCATCTATCAGCTAAGTTCATATCACAAACAAGTATCCTCTGCGATTTAGTTAGGTGTGACTTCTGTTATATTATCTAGCTGCGCGCTCTACAGTTTTGTAGTCTGTACTAACCACAAGAACATATGTATCATGATTATCTTGTAAGTACAGAAGTGCATACTGATTAATGGCATTGGGTTCACTAATTCCTTGTTGCCAACCAGTGTGATTGTGGGGGCTGAGTCCTCAACCTTCTCACGGAGGTTATCAGAAGCGCAGAAGCAGCAGGATGAGCAGGACAATGATGAAGGCACTATTGCTTTCAGTAAGAACTGGTTGGCTGAAAATAAGAAACCCAAGTATGTTCTTCCTTCCCTCTTTTTCCCATTTTTACTTGCCGTGGAAAAGACATTATCATACCATTGTATGGTGCGCAGAACCCCAAAGGAGAATAAAAAGCGACCCCGAGAGGATGATGATGTTGCTGCTGAGGAGGATCGGGTTGAGGATTTTGTCTTGAGCTCAGATGAAGAGGATGGCAACAATCAGGAACCAGAGGATGGTTTTGTTCCGGTTGAAGGTGATAGTGACGAAGACTTTGTAGACCCTGACAGTGAATATAAGAAACAAAAGAAGGCGAAGCTGAAGAAGAGGAACAAGCGCCAGCCATTGTCGCACAAGGCGCCCTCGAGAACAAAAAGGAATTCACATCCCAAGAAGACGACCAGGCATTAGTTATGCTTAGTAGGACTCGGCAAAGATGCTGCTGTTGTGAACGTAGCACTTGGTTTACGATTGAAGAGTGCAGTCTAGCGCTGTAGTTTTCTCTATCCATATTTCTCTAAGTGCAGATTTTGCGGGGAAGGCTTGCCTCGGTTTTTTCCTTCCCTAGACCCCACTCATGTGGGAGCCTCCGGCACTGGGTCTGCTCTTTTAGTGTTACCTGTCAAAGCATTGGTCCTGCAAATGAGTATCCGAGATTGTTTTTTGACAATGTGCCTTGGACTTATTGATATACTGCCCCCATCTCAAAAAGGATGCAATTCTAGAATAATGCTATGTTTTAGTATGAGAAGTTTGACCAAATTTATTTATAAGTACTAATATTATCATACGAAATAAGTAGCATTAGTTTGGTCATGAAATATACGTACTTCTATTATATTTGCAGTGGCGCGGCGACGCCGGTTGCACAGATGATGTCGGCGTGTGCGAGTTGCTGGATCCCCTCCACGCCCGTCAGGCTGGACGGCCGCGGTGAAACCAACCGGACGAGGTGCATCCTGACGTCCGGTGGCAGTGTGCCACATGATGCACAGGAGCACGTACGATCGGTGCGCCCGAGTACTGGCCGCCGTACGTGGCGACTAGCGGTATCCCCATGATTGGAGCTAGTGTGACTGTGTGTGTGAGTGACCTTGCTAACAATTGGTATTACAGTCGCATGAATCTGGTCGTGCAAAGTACTATCACACACCCTGACAATCCTACATCCATTGATAAAAAAAAACTAGCATGCACAGGACCATGCTGTCGCTAGCAGGCAAGCAGTAGTACGTTGACCATTACAGATGGCATTTCCAAGTACAAGAGTTATACACAACACAACCTTGCATTCGAGTTACGCCTCCCTGCGCCTGCATCGAAGCATCGATCGCCCGGTGCCCCGGTCGATCCCCAATCAAAGCAATAATCTAGCTTGCACAGGGCCGCCCTAGCACTTCTTGCCGACGCGGCAGTTGAGCGCGCCGGCGTACCTGGTGAGCGACTCGGCGTACTGGCCGCCCTTGGCCTGGATGAGGTCGAGCCTGTCGAACCGGCGCTAGTTCCGGCCGCCGGACTGGTTGAAGAAGGCCCCGTTGAGGAGCAGGTCGTCCTGCGACTTCCACACCCAGTCCTTGTACTGGTTGTACGGCGTGTACTCCCGCTAGGTCACCTCCTTGAAGTTCCTGTCGTCGACGGCGCGGAAGCGGTTCCCCTGGCTGATGATGGTGGGGTTCTGGCTGCCGCCGATGGCGTACACGAGCCAGTGCGTGTAGTCGTTGTTCACCACGTAGAAGAAGCCGTAGCGGCACCTCGGCATCCGCTGCACCAGCCCCTTGCCGAAGTGGTTGAACGCCACGGTCACCTGCATCATCTTGTCCTTGGCGGCGCTGTCGCTGGCCCCGAACAGCATCACGTGGTCGTGCTTGGTGAAGTGGCCGTTGGAGATGGTCACGGCGGTGGAGCCATCCACCACGTCCACCAGCACGTCGGCGCAGCTGCGCATGGACACGTGGTCGATCCAGATGTCACTGGACCCCATCACGGAGATGCCGCCGCCGTCGCTCTCCCCGCGGACCCCCGAGTGGTGCTTAGAGTCCCTGATCACGCCACCGCCGCGCGGGACGGCGTCGTGGATGTGGAGGATCACGTTGTGCACGTTCTGCAGCGTGATCTGCGCGCCCGTGACGTGCACCTGCGCGCCGCGCCCGTCGATGGTCTTGTCGCTGCTGACGATGAGCTCCTTGCAGAGGTTGATCACCATGTCGCGCGCGAACGTGATCCACAGCGGGCGGTCCTGGATGACGGCGTACCGGTGCGTGCCCTTCCAGGGGACGACCAAGTTGGCGGGGTCGTCGCGGGGTCGGTCACCACGTAGATCCTGCCGGTGGCCCTGTGGCCGAAGCCCATGGTGATAGAACTAACGGGACCTCTAGACGTAGATTTAGCGGGTAAAACTCAACTTAGATGAGAAACTTGATGATGTACCTCATCATGACACGGCGCGACGCGCCTCTAGTGTCGGAGTAAAGGTAGCATTGTAGTGGTGGCGCGGTCCAGTGACGGCGGTGAAGGCCGGTGGAGCTTCCCGTCGCTCCCTATAGATCGGACTAGTGTTAGATTCGGTGGGGAACTGGCAGCTACAGTGAACCTCGTGTCTCGAGCCCTAGCTCCCACCTCCTTTACATAGCGCTGCGCGACGGGAGGCCACCAGCCAGAAGAGCGGCTGAGTGCCCCCGATCAGGGCGCGAGTCAAGGGCCCAATTGACCGTTGGGCCAAATTGGTGGAGATCAACCTAACATTCTCCTCCTTAATCTCACCTTATGTCTTATACTTAACTTATTTTATCTTTTTCCCATTTCATCGCAGATCACTGCATAGAGCGTGCCTCATCGTCACGGTCAGTTGCCATTAGATTTAACAGCTATAATGCACCTCTCTATTTTGAAACAAATTCTCAACTAGGCCCTCAGTATCTAGAAACTATAGGCTTTCCCGTAAACCCATGTCGACTGTGTGTTCTCTGAACGCACTGGGTAGTTAGCCTTTAGTAAGCTGATCCGCAAGTACTTTCTTGGTACTCATATGCTCAATGCTTTCAAAATGATTCTGAATTTTCTCATTTACAACATATAACTTAATGTCAATATGTTTGTCAGCACACTTGACCTGTTGTCTTAGGAGTTAACTACTTTAAATGGCTATTGCTGTTGTCTACCATTGTTAAATCCGGGTACATATTCCCTTAACAACCTTTTGCTTGTTCCTGAAGTCTCATGACAAGCTATTCTATGGTATGCATCATTGATGACACCACAACTGTTTCTTTTGAGCTTTTCCACAATAATATTACAACTACGAGTGTTAACAACTACTGTAGATTTCACTATACATCTCGCTAAAAATTAACATTTATACCCACAACTATTTGAGAGTACTTGTTCTTTCTTACTCAACATGAGGCCTATGATACTTTACAAAAATTGCAATACATTCTTAACTTCATTCCAGTGATCTATATCTGGACTAGACTTCTGCCAAAATATCTCGGATACGTAAACTACGTCAAGATAAGTTCTTACTTGTACATTCACTAAGCTTTCAACAGCTGAAGCATATGGAACCATGTTCATTTTATCTATCTTATATCGGTTCCTGGAACACTGAAAGTTCCCAAATCTATCACCATTGACTATAGGAGCAGGCGTAGGTTTACTCGTGTGCATACTTTATTTCTTTAGAATCTTTTCTAATTATGCCTTTGCGATAGTCTAAATACCCCTTTTCATCTATCTCGGTGAATTTCAATTCCTAGAACCAATAAGGCTTCACCAAGATCATTCACATTGAAACTTAAGGACAAAGACTTCTACTTCTCAAATGGCAGATTAACATTACTACTGGTGAGTAAGATGTCATCTATACACAGGATGTGAAAAAAGAATTTTTCATTCTTGAACTTCGCATAAACGCTATTGTCCTTCTCATTTTCTTTAACCCCAAACTTTCTTATCGTTTCATCAACTTCAAATACTACTGTTTATAGACTTGTTTTAATCCATAAATAGATTTCTACATGCCGCTGTTGACACCAATTTTGGCATACCCAAAATGTATGAAAACATTGATACCATATTAAATAAAATGGTATAGATGATCAAGTTTCATATGAATATGATATAGGCAAATAAGGAATAATATAACATCGGAAAAGAAGATGGGGCAAAAAGAAAAGGAGACACACATGTACATATATGCATGAGCGTGTTCACGCCTTGACAAATGAACAAAAGCACGGCAATCACATGTCCCATAAATACACCCGGCCGTAAATACATACATGCATATACATACACATGGGTTAATCAAAACATGGCCATGCAAGTACGGGCCTGTTCGCTTGTCTGGATTTTGGAGGAATCTGGATGGTTTAGAGGAATGCTGAAGGAATTTGTGAGAGAAAAATACTGTTTCGAATAAAAAAATAAGCGGATCAAGCCGGGTTTAAAGGCACGTGAACGGGGCCTACGTGTGTGGTACATACACAGCAAGCGTATAGCAATTAGCACGTACGTGCACGCCGGCCAGGAAATAAGTTATTTCCTGTTCTCCTTAATCACTTCAGTTAAAGAATAAATAAATGGTCCAAATGCCAGTTGCCAGGCAAGGAAGAAACTGTTGTGCGCGCTTGGCATATTCAAACATAGTCAAAGGATGGCCACGTCTCCAAATCACTGCCGCGAGACCGAGTCATGCAACCTCCATGGACCGCGCGCTCTGTTGATTTAAAAAATGGCGCCGCACCGGCACCGCTTGATCAAGGGACTAGCAAATTGGAAATCGAACTCAAGAGCGCCAAGTAGTCCTGGCAACCACTCCGGCCGCTTTAGACGTGGACGTGACTTCGAAGCAGAGAAACCGCCTTGCCTCTTGCTCTATAAATAGTAGGCTACTGCAAGAGTACACACACACAGCTCTCTGATCCAAAGTGCCGTCAGGCTGCCTTCACCAATACACAACGCAAACCACCGCTAGGCTGCTGTGCTGCTCATCTCGCACCACCAGGCTGCCGGTTCGCCGCTCTGCCGCGTGGAAGGTCATCAGGAGCTTGCCGTAAGAAGCAACGTCCTTTCCAGGGTCCCTGAGAAGGTGAGAGCAATGTTTTTGAGGCGTCGCCTAGTCGTCGCCTAGGCGACAAGGCGTGGTCGAGGGCCTGGGCGTCGGGGTCGCCACGACCTCAGCGTGTATGGCGTCCGCCTCATAGGGTTAGGCGTCGCCTAGGCGCAAATGGCGTCGGGCGGACGCCTACAACCGCGCCACGGACGTCGGATACCGGTCGTAGGGGAAGGGCGCCAAAAGGAGCGCGGCCCCGCAGGAAATCGACCGAGGCGCGGGAAATCGACCGCGCGGGCGCCCAGGTAGCTTCTTCGCGTGGGAAATCTAGCGTGCGGGTCATTCACCGCGAGTGCGGGCGAGGAGAGGGGAAGAGAGAAGGCGGCGGACGTACCTCGACCTCCGCTGGGCGCGGACTCTGCTCGTGTCCACCGGCCGGCCGCCCCTGCCGCGGAGCCGGCCCTGCATCTGGCCGTCCGCCCCTGCCGTGGAGCCTGTCGGGCCCTTTCGCCCCTGCATCTCCGCTTGACTGCGCCTCCGTCGGGCCCTTCCGCCTGGTATGCTCTGCTTGTCTGCTCTCTGCTCTCTGCTTGTCTGCTCTGCTCTCTGCTCTCTGCGCCTCCGTCGGGCGCCTCCACTCTGCTCTGCTTATCTGCTTGTCTTTCGTCTGCTCTGCTTGTCTTCCGTCGGGCCCTTTTCCAAATCTCGTGCTCTGCTGTCTGCTCTGCTTGTACTGCTGCACTAGTATATGTATGTGCTCTGCTTGTCTGTTGTCTGCTCTGCACTAGTGCGGGAGAAGAGCTTTTGGAAAGGAAAGAAAGGAACGTGGGCTCAAGAATTGGCAACAAACGAGGTATCTATGTGCTCCACTAGTATATAAAATTCTAGCTTACAACGCCTTACAATGTGTGTATGGTGTCGCCTAGGCGTCCGCCACAAACGCCTAGGCGTTGTGAAGGGGGTCGGGCGCCGCGCCTCGCCGCGGCGCCTCAAAAACATTGGGTGAGAGGCCTCAGGGCACATCTCTGATCCTGCCTCCCATCCTGCATCTTATCTCCGGCTGTTTCATCCACAAGCGTTGTCATCGGCAACTTCATCGGCGAGCCTTGCGTCCTCTATTCTGGTACAAATGGGGCCAGTGAGGACGGTGCTCCACACATGGGCATCATGCCTTGGTAAAGGTATAAGGGCCAAATGGCTGCGCTATGCGCATGGGCTTTGTGCCTCGGTAAAGGTGTACAAGGCTAGCAAATGTGCCTCGGTGAAATTCGGGTTTGGACGCGTTTTGGCTCCATCCCGCGGTTGAAATTTAGGTCGGACGCGCTGTGGCTCCACCCCGGGTTATGTTCCTGGTTGAAATTTGGTTGGACGCATTGTGGCTCCAACCTGGTTAAAGGTTCATGGTAAATTCGGTTTGGACGCGCTTTGACTCCATTCCTCGGTTGAAATTCATACTAAAATGGTGGACGCGTTTTGGCTCCACCCGGTTAAAAATCATGGTACAAAAATGGATGGACACAAATTGGCTCCACCCCAAATAAGTCTGTGTTGATCACGACCATAGTTTTGCCGGCCTATCTGCATTCATACAGTTCATAACTTTGCATGCTATAATCACCATGGTCTTGCATGCCAAAAGATAAAGTCTTAATTAAAACTGATAGACAAAATAGCAGTGTTACACCGCTATTTTGTCTTGCATCCTGCACTTGTGCATCAAGTCATGTCTCCTGGTTGGGCGTATGTGCTCAGTACTAATCAAGTTGCATGCTCAAAGTTTAAAACCCTTAATTAAATCAATGAACCGAGCAAAAGATGTTGCATATGTGCAAGCCATAGGCTAGTTAATTAGCATCCCTCTCGCCGAAATGCAAACTAGCCTGCCTGCTCCGTCTTGCATGAACGGCGGCATGATCAAACAGCCTATACCACATAGACAAAGCCAATTAGTGTTGCATCAAAATCAACACGGCTATGCAGTGATAAAATCAAATAGCCACTCCCATGGTCTTGACCTAATTAAAATTAGGAAGCAGATAAGAAAACCTGCACACCATGTCATGGTCACGCCGGGGAATCAAATATGTCTAATCATGCATTAGATGAAATTACTCTGTTTTAAATTATGGCTAGACCATATAAATAAACTT